GGATTTATGTGGAATTTTGGAGTATCTTAACTAAAGTGTAATAAAATATTAAATAAAATGAACACCTTTTTAACTTGTATTTAATGTTTACAATGCAAGTCCAATTAGATCCACTTATTTGGTAAACAAAGCAAGTCTCATATAATATATGTACTAAAAGACAGAAAATATTACTTTATAAACTGTACAGTTACATTTTCATTCATTTACCTTTGGCTTAGTTCCTTTATTGATCAGGGGTCGCCACAGTGGAATGAACCACTAACATATCCAGCATATGTTACACAGCAGATGCCCTTCCGGCTGCAACCCAGTGCTGAGAAATGAACATTTTCATTTTAGACAAAAATGTTACTGAAATTCATTTAAAAACTGAATAATTGTAAATTAGCACACATTTATTCAAGTTAATAAATGGGCTTAAAATCTGCGGTGTCTGTACTTTTACTTCACTACATTCCTTCAACCTGCAGTCACTACATTTCATTCTTATCTATGGTGATTGACTAAAGTAGAAAAACCATTCCTGCGATTCATGTCCAATCAAATCGCACACTGAAAGTAAATCGCATCACACTGATCAACCTCAAGTCATTGGCACTTTATAAATGCAGCAAATCCTTTGGGAAGCATTAAAAGTGTCCAAAATCTTTACATGCAATGACCCAGAGACTGTTTAGACTGCATGTCACTGATGAGAAAATGAAGGATTAGTTTGTCGACTTTAATGACTGAACTCGTCAAACAGCCTTAAATAAAATGAATGAAGAATAGAAGGAAGGGCCAGACAAGGAATGGAAGGAAGGTCCTAATGAAGGAAAGGAGGACCTGATTAATAAAGGAAAAAAGAACCAAATGAAGGAAGGAAGGATTCAAGGAAGGACTGAACAAACTAAGGAAGGAAGGAACAAACGGACGACAAATGAACAAAGGACCAAATGAAGGAAGGGACAAAAAAATGGATGAACAAATAAATTAATTAATAAGCAAAGGAGTGAAGAGAGGAAGAAAGGAAGGAACAAATAATTGAAGGAAGGAAGGAACAAACAAATGATTAAAAGGACAGAATGAACAAACAATTGATGGAAGGAAGGAAGGAACGAAAGAATGAATATAGGAAGATCACTAATTGCACTACAGAATGTTGTTTTTCACATCCCAGCACAAACTGCATGTAAACGCATCAGCTTTTCACACTGTAATACTGGCTACTCACTACTCTTGAGAACTTTTAAAAGGTCTACATTTTACTCATAATTTGAGTAATATTTACAACAGATAATTTTACTGTATTTGCACTACATTTTTGGGTAAGTAATGATACTTTTACTTGAGAATGATTTTTCAATACTCTTTCCACCACTAGTCTCTTCAGAACACTAGGATATGAAGTATACTGCTCATTTGATTATCTATACAATTTCTTCTATGACATTTTTTTTTAAACACTCCTGTCTTAGAATTCTGCATACACTGTTCGCCCTTTGGGTCAAAATGACCTGTCGTCTTCACTAAATCTAAAATAAAGCAGTCAGATCCTCAGATCTATTTTGCGTGAAAAAAACAACCTCATCTTCATCACAAACTCTGTGAATGTCTAGAATTTCCCACATCAGCGTAGAGTATTTCATCAATGTTTAATCAGAGGGCAAAAACTTGTCTTTGACTACAGTAAAGGGTGTTTTCTAATGCTAAAACAACCCCTATATGGGGCGTCTGCAGACTTGGATCCAGGCAGTTTTATGACCCATAAAGTTTTACGTTCCTGATGTGTCCAGTAGGGGGGATAGCCAAAATAATACAGTAGCCAAATAATACATTTGAAGTCAAATCTTCCAGATTATTAGTTATTTTCAATCTCTAACAAGTGCTTATCCATTCTTTAGATACTTTTTCTAAGCTGTTAACCAAGCTGTTAATCTTGTCAAAAATACATTTTGTTAAATATATACTAAAACTTCATTTCAAAATAGAACACATCTTTCTCTGCACACTAACTTTTCCAAAACACTGGAAATCTGACTCAAAATTACATTATTCTGTCAAATAATAACACTTGTTTTCACTTCACAAGGTAAATGCATTGAATCAAAATACACCAGATTTCAAAATGCTGTCTATTGTTGACATTACAAAAACTGCAGAGACTTTTATGTTTCAGTTTTACAGGTATTTGCATGCAAAACATGCAATCCACCGTTTTAACACTAAATGTCTTGATTGGGAACGTATGTCCAGCTGTACAGTAATGTTCACATTTAAAAGCATTCCAGTAAAAAGCAAATAATTTTTTTCTTTTACGGTTTACTACAGGCTGTACAGTAGAAACATAGTATAATAGAACAGAAAAGGTTTTACAGTATTGCTTAAAGTGAACAAAATATCCAAGAACACACAAGAGCATTCTAGCAAAGAAAAAAAACAACAACAGCAAAAAGCCCAGATTTTAAAAAAAGTATCTAAAAACTGTTTCTAATCTCTGCAATCTTCAGAGTTAGGTCACATTTTCATCAAGATCACTACTTAAAGTCCTACTCTTACTATAAGTGTAAATGTAATAAAATAAAAATAGCCTCTGCCACAGTCTTTTGATATTAATATTGTTTTTGAACTGATACCATTGCAGAAGCTGAGGTTTTTATTTTGTTTCTAAGGTTTGGATTATTGTTTTTGCTATTGTTTTGTGTTAACATTCGTAAATACTACAAAAACAACCCATAATTTTGTGGGAGGTATAGCTTGTCTGTTGTAAAATGTAAGCATGGTAGAAATGTGTTCACTGACTGCATATTTTGGAGAAAACGACATGAAATGTGTGAATGTTATGGCCACAGAAGCAGATGCTCTGCTAATTGAGTTTTGAAAATGAGACAACTGGTTGGACGAAAGCTTGATAGAGACTGAATAAACTATTTACAAATATACTTTTTGCTTGTTAGCTGAATACAAACGCTAAGCTAATGTATCAGAAAGTACGTTTAAATATACACACAATTGCATACTAATTCAGATACCAAAGCCCCGTAGCAAATTAGTTTACATTTAATTATTTAGAAATATTTCAACACAAATAGTTGGATAGTGTAATGATTAATTGTAGCCTAGTTATATGTTTTCACATAGATATTTGCATGTTGTTGTATACAAAGTTGCATTCTGAAAATAATAAAATTATAACTGAAAAAAATGCAGTGTAATATAGGTTAATGATATGCTTTGATGAGAATGCAGTGATATTAGCTACCAGACAGCTGCAGAACTTCTAGACAAACAATTAAAAAGGACCATATAGCTACCTGACAAACAAAACCCAGACAACATTTTTTTAACATTTATTTATTGGCATCAACATCAGTTCTCTAATTTCTTCTTTAAATGATGCTGAATACTTGATCACTAAAAATAAATAAATAAATAAATATTCACACTCTATAACATCAGAAAGGTCCGACCCTTCCTATCTGAACATGCAACTTAACTCCTTGTTAAAGCTCTTGTTCTCTCTAGACTGGACTATTGCAACTCTCTACTAGCTGGGCATCCAGCTAACTCTATCAAACCTCTTCAGCTGCTTCAGAACGCAGCAGCACGAGTGGTCTTTAATGAACCTAAAAGAGCACATGTCACTCCGCTACTCATCCATTTGCACTGGCTGCCAGTTGCTGCTCGCATCAAATGCAAAGCTCTGATGTTTGCTTACAAAGCGACTTCTGCTCCAACTTCTGCAGATTTATGTGCCCTCCAGAAACTTGCGTTCTGTGAATGAACGTCACCTCTTGGTTCCATCCCAAAGAGGGAAGTAATCACTTTCCCGAACTCTCGCGTTCAATCTGTCCAGTTGGTGGAATGAGTTTATAGAACGGCAGAGTCACTCGCTGTCTTAAAGAAACGACTAAAAACTTAACTATTTAGTCTCTAATTTAGTCTGCAATTCCCTTTCTGGCTCCACCGCTAACTGTCCTACCAAAAAATAAATAAATTATTACTAATGGTTTTGCGTCTTACACTTTACATACCTGAAGCTTGCCTACAGCAATTATTTTTTGTTGCTCTTATAGTTGTGTAAATTGCTTCCTTGTCCTCATTTGAAAGTCGCTTTGGATAAAAGTGACTGCTAAATGACTTAATGTAAATAAATAAATAAATTATAATAAGTTATTTATAAATACTCTGCAAAAAATGCTTTTCTCACTTAAGAGGAGTTTTTGTCTTGTTCCTAGTCCAGCTATCTAAAAATAGTCAGGAATGGAAAATGTGTAGCAAAAATTATTTCATGTAAATTTTATATATTATCTGAAGTAAAACATAAAAAAATATTTTCAATAATAGATTTATGATTTAAGCATTTATATTGGATATATTTTATGATTAAGCATTTTATTTTTTATGTTATTATTTTCAGCTATCAATTCTGATTCTGACCTTCCTATATTTATCATATTTAATTACTTTCTTTGTAACAAATTCTGTTACAATAACATTTCTGAAACAATAAGTGAGAAACAATATTCATATATGTATATGTAATGTAAACTTTTATGCTAAAAATATACACTATATAGCTATGAATAAACTTAGTGGACCACTTATAATTGTGAGTTTCTTTATGCAGGATATATGATAGTTTAAGTAAACAAATATTTAATTGTTTAAACTACTAATGGCATTTAAACCAAATATAAAATAACATTTAATTTAGAACAGGATTGCATTATATTAAATGTAATTGAATGTGATTCAATTTTAATTCTAATTCAAAATAAAATCAATTCAGTTTTCAGATCTTTAAAGCTTTGTTTGGATTTATTTTAATATAAAGTTAAGAAAGTCAAATTGGGAGGAATAATATAGTATAGTAGTGGCTGACAGCCATGATCGCTAAAAACAAATAAACACAACACACATATGCACACACACACACACACACACACACACACATTTTTTTATGTAGAGCAGGTTAAAGAGAATGTAATAATGAAAGAGAATAACTGCTCACTCACTTAAGCTTTTTTATTGTTTATTTTCTATTATTATTTTCTATTACTACTATTATTATTTGGGATACAATCCCAAACAGTACCATAAAAAGAATGGATAATCACAGATTCACAGGTGAAGTAGACATCACAATTAACATATAGGCCTAATTATCCAGCAAACACATACAGTCTATAATTTAATATTTAACAATACTAGCAAAAATAACTTCAATAATTAATCAGACATGATTAAGATTAAGTGAAAATAAAATAAAATTAGTAAGAACATATATAGGTTTATTTGTGATTGTTGGTGGTCAATTACTGATAATGAATGTTTTGTTGTTTTAATATAAACGCACATAACATTTATTATTAAATTAATTAAATAATTAATTAATTTAGCTTTTTAGTGAGTGTGCCGTTAAATTCTCGTATGGAGTGTTACACGCATTGTAATTTTGCTGCAAATGTAATTTAATTATTTTAAACGATGAAGTTAATAAAAATAAAAAGATAAGAACAGGTCAGAAAAATATCTTCCCAAAAAAGGCTCTCATGCAGCCTAAAAACAGACAAAAACATTTATAGGAAAACTTACCTACATAAGTGAGATGTAGTATATGTTGCTAGCTTACACATAGCTAGCTAGAAATTGACTCAAACTAACAACATTGCTATTGTTTTGTCTCTGCTTGTGAATAGAATTACATAAATTTGTTTACGTATTAACATACACTCATATCGACCTTGATCTAATTTAAAAAAAAAAAAAAAGTTTGACGTTTGCTAAACAATTTTTAACATACCCCTTCATCGTGTCACATTTGATCTGGTGTGTTGAGGTTCTGGAGGCTACTAACAATTGTAACACCACCTCTATGCATGCAAGATGTTACACTGAGGGAGTTCACAGAATTTTTATTTCACACATACTGAAATTAAAATAAACTTCACAAGCCTGTTCTTCCCTTTTTCCTTCTTGTTTAATTTCTCTACAGGTGTATACAGTATATAGTCCACACAAACAAAAGTAATCAATATAGATGGTTGGGTGAATGTTGCGTAGATGGATTTGAGTGCGATGCAATATTATCCACTTCCTTAAACTGGGAAATCGGTAGTACGATGAGGAATTTAAGAGTCACTGACCATCATCCCAAGTGTACACATATAGTTCACTTGCCAATGAGAAGCATAAAGAATGTTGAAACCAAATCATTGCAGTCCATTGAAAGCACCAACAAACACCTCATCTGAACATCTCTAGGACAACAGGTCCTGTCTACATAAGAAATAAACATAGGGCAAATCACAACTAAATAATGAAAATACTTTTCAAACTTAAAACTTATTCAATACTCACATTTGAGTAGCAACAATAATGTTCTCAAAAAAATCAGAACCGGAGTGGGTCGGTAGCCTAAGTTTACCATGTGGTTCCCTCTACCAAACACGACTCACTTGTTCTATGGTGAACTGGAACATATCCAGTTCTCACTCCCCTCTAGTGCAACCTAGTGGCCTGTAGAAATATTACAACCAATGCTTCTCACATCACAAGAAACTAAAACAACAATTAAAGCATGTAACGTTTGTTCGTTACACAATAACACTGTGCTGCTTCTCCCTACTGGACACATCAGGAACAACAGGACCCAGGCCGCAATACTGCCTGTATTCTGGAAGTCTGCAGTTTCCCCCTTCTCAAAGAACCTGCATTAGTGAGGAAACAGCCTGAACTTTAAGGTCCAGAAATCTGTCAGGTTTCATATACTCCATCTGTTAAATGAACTTAAATCTAAAAAGGGTCAATTAGCTTTGAGGTTTTTAGAGTTTGTGATATCACACACCCAGGAATTAGCTCTTCCCAACCAGCCATTTGTATCAGTATACCCCTGCACGATGAATGACCTCCATTGAAGAAATATGAAAATTTTCAATTGAAATTTGCTGTATGGTTGTCGGTGCAATGGACAACTAACCTCTAAGATATAGACAATCATCTTCAATATAGAAAACATTGCTTGTCTAACTTTAGTTAATGGTCTGTATTTTGAAATCAAACTTACTGGTTAATAACCAATAACAGTCTATGTGGAAAATACACCATCCTTGGGACTGCTACGAAAATAAAATTAATACAAAACAAAGTTGTGGTTCCTAAAGTTTCATGTTTTCAACATCATTTTTTTTATTTATCACAGTGGCTATGCCTTATATGCCCCAGAGGAGAGCCCAGACTGCTCTCTGTCCCCATGATGTGAGCAACTTGGCAATATGGAGGAGAGAGGTAAGCGGATGGGTGATGTAGGACGTCATTCATCATTCTTACCCACTTCTGCAGCAGGTGCTTGCCCCAGATCTCTCATCCCTGGAGCCAGTGGCACAATTAATGAGGCTCAGACACTGTCATCTCTAAAATGTTCTCTTCACTTATATGTAACAGCTTAGCAGCTGGCCCAGAGGAATAAATATTACAAATCTTTGGCAGTGCTTGAATGGTTACCAGTTTTTGATTTATTGACAATTCCTAACAAATGGTATGTAAAACAATTCATTCCTAAAAAAATTTTTGCAAACAAAACTGTTCTTTAAAAAGGTTGTCTTCAAAAAGGTTTTTTTTTTTAAAATATTCCATTAACATATAGCAATACAATGTTAAAATATACACTTTTTTTATCCTTTATTAAAGCATCACTGTAAAAAAAGTACTGTAGGACCTGGCAAAAAAGTTGCCATTAATGTGTTGTAAAAATGTTGTAAATTGCTGTAAATGCTGTTAATCCATTTACAGCTATTAATTTTATGTGAATTTTTTTTTTTTTTACAAAAATACACAATTAAGTTGTATTCTACCTTACAGTACTTTCTTGTAATTCCACTACATTACAGCATTTACCTGGCAACTACAGTTGCCAATAAAAGCTTGTAAATACCCCAAAACCCAAGATGTTGTTGTAGTAGCTTTACCTTGAAATGCTGTAAATCATGATTTTTTTTTACAGTAAGCAAATATAGTACTTCTATTTTAATTGTTTTAAATGCATTTCCACTGTACACTTTTAAATAACAAGAATAAATAAAAAAAAAAAACAAATGCAAAACTCTTGTAATAATAGTTGTACTGGCCTCACTAAGGCTGGCTGCTTAGTTATACAGTCAGTTAACATAAAAAGGGCATAAAGAATCACAGATGACGTATGACGATCCATTGTTTTTTCATTATTTAATATAACATAACTCTTGTACAGTGGGTTTTATCATAATTTCATCATTATCAATTTATCATTTATCATTAATTTTACCAGTGGCATAGCAGACCCCCCCTCAATGAGCGTGATTTTCACGACAGAAAAACCGTTGTGTTTATGAAATCATTAAACAAAAATAATAAATCTGAAAGTGGACAGTTTTTGAAACTATTGATTCATCTAAAAAGAGTCAACTCATAGTGGTTAGAATTAATTATCTTGTTAACGAGTCTTTAGGCATTTCAGCGTGATGTGGCTACGAAACATAAGCCCCGCCCAATTGTTGCGCATGCAAACCCGGGAAACTTTAAACCTGCGGCCCCGCCCAACAACACAGAAGCAAAGACTGATCCTGAAGTCATGAGCAGGGCCAGACGGAATCAATAAAAAAAAAATTACTGAATAAAAATTCAGATTCATAATTCAGATTTCAGAATTCAGATAATAAACAGAATTAATAATGGGCTAAGACTCTGCAGAAATCTGCAGAATTCTGCGGAAAATTCTGTGCGCGCAGATTCCGTGTGGGCTAGTCATGACTCATGAAGATGCTGTGCTCACATTATTGGAAGTGTGAGGGAAAGGAGTGCTTTACCAATCTACACACTTAAAATGGGCAATTCATCGGCCGTTTGTTAAAGGAGGAATAAAAAATGACTACTGGAGACTTCCGGGTAGGAGAGCGACAAGATGGCAGCATAGAATCAGTACTCCTGACGCAGAAATAATTTAAAACCACCTTAAAATCATAACATTAACGATTTAAGTGACTGATAGCTACATTAAAATAAGAGGGGAGAAAGATGGAGACTAGGTGTAAAACAAAAAAGGATACACAATCTGCTGAAATACACAACAATGATACTCGACTCACATGTTATGTATGTGTCTTATCATCAAATATTCATTTATAGATCGCACATATTTCTGAATTAAATCAGCCACATGCAGGTTGACATTTTACCACCACTCTTTACTTCTTGAGTGTGTGTGAACTCCGTAACATTAAAAAACTTCCCGACATGCCACCTGTTTCCCGTCTTAAAGACACAGATGCAGTTAAAGTACATGAAAGTGTTCTCCCTCGACGTGCAAACAGGTGGCCATAAGTGGAACTAGTTGATTTAAGCCTCATTTTAAAGGAGGTAAGGGACTTTTGTCATGACAGCGACACTCAGCTTAAAGAAATTAAAATGGAAATTCTGAACACTAACGATAGACTTGAAGAGGTAGAAGGCTGAATTGTGACTGCAGAAGAGAGAATTCAAAACGCAGAAGAGGAACTTACAGGCCTATTGAAGCTACACATCAGAAAGGAGGAGAAACCTATGAATGCAGAGGGACGCTTCAGACGCAACAATCTTTGAATATATGGAATACCCGAAAGGGCGGAAAAGGATTTCACGACGACTTCTGGATTTCTTCAACAATAAGGTCGAGGAGGCATTGCATGACATGTCCAAAAGAGGATTCCCCGTGCAGCCTATTAGCCAGTCAAACACTCTCATAGAACAGATTCAATGCATGTCATGGTAGAGAAAAACTCGGAGCGCAGGCAAACGTGACACTCATCAGGGAAGAAGACCAACATTCAAGGAAAAACTACAGCCTTTCCAAGGAAATGTGAGCGCCCAGCCATCATAATCCACATGCGATCGTAACATTAACGCTGGACTGAACTTAATAGTTAGGATGTGAAACTATCACAGAGAGGAATCACCCTTAGACGGAGAGACAGGAGGCGCAACGTCTACATCTCATTTAAAAACCTATAAAAGTACAATTTTAAGTTGTCGGGACATGTTCTATGGGTAGCTTTAATGTTTACTTGGTTTTCTGCCATCCACAAGGGCCCCTTCTGTAGGCTCATTAAGGGAGGTTTTCCCTTGGAGCCTTCAAGTGATGGCTCAAGTCTAGTCATAGTAATGACGTCAGGTATGGAAGTACACTTAATTGAGTTCTTAAGGTTAATATTGATTGTTTTGTTTCGGGTTATTTTGTTCAAGGGGAAGCTATGTATTAAGATACTTTGAAATACTACTTTTCAAGTTTACTGTAAAATATGAAGATTGCCTCATTTAACATTAATGATGTACTCAGTCCATTTAACCAAAATTATTGTATTTATTTTAAACTCTTCAAGTAGAAATATCAAATCAACAGTTTAGCAAATGGAATAAAGTAATATCTAGATTTCTATGGCAGGGAAAAACCCAGAGTAAGATTTAAAACACTGCAATTAAGCAAAGAAAAAGGTGGATTAGGTCTCCCATGCCTGCAACAATATTATTATGCTGCTCAATTAAGGCCACTAGTCTGCTGGAGGAGTCCCACCTACTCAGCAAAATAGATTGAAATAGAAGGGGATGATGGAGGAATCCCCATTATCGGCCCTAATTGCAGATAATAAAGTAAGATTTAAAATAAATAAAGAAGCAAACCCATGAATTAATCTACTATATAAAATCTGGCAGCAAACAAAGAAAATATGTGGTTTGCAAGATGCATCAAGAATATTAAGATGGTGTGCCTACGATACAGATTTCATCAATAAAGACAAGAAACTGTTATTTATTTTTCAGGCAGCTAGTGTTGGGGAATTCATTGTGTCTTGATGAATTTCTGATGAATGTATTACTCTCATTTATAAGCTTATTTTAGTGATTTCAGTATTATTATTATTATTATTATATATTATATTATTACCCATAACTGTGGCATTATTATCAGGTATGTGTGCTTTGGTAAATGAAAAAGTCATTCTGTGTAAATGCAGTCAGGGATGAGAAGATAAATTTGAAGAGCAGCATTAATGACACAATGGATTTATGGATGCAAGGCTAAAAGGACACCTGCGTTCTGTTCTGTAACTCATGATAAAGCACACCTGCACATGCGCCCACACTCACTTGTACTGGCATCTAAAGAATTATGAGTACTTATGAACTTCAGCTGAACTTACAGTTGACAGCTCAGTGGACAGTGAACAAGATATATTGTTGAGCATTGTTTTTTGGCTGAGTCATCGCTTTTGAAGCGGGAAGGAAAGACCTTAACTGGACATGGGTAAGACCCCTGAAAGACCCTGAGATTCTATTGGTGGCGGGCACCTGAGACATTTAAGATCCCATTACCGGAGAAGCTGATGGAGGTGTGCAATGTGTAAATTTGGGTGGAGTATTAAGACACAGTAATGTATTTAAACTGTGTGCAAGCCTATTTTCAGCAGACACTCGAAGGACCTGTCTCTGTTGTTACTGATGCTGTAAC